CGATGTCAAAATTGATAAATTTTAACCGTTAAAAAAATTAAAGAAATTCCCTAAATAGGAGTGAAATATAGAAAAAGTACTAAAATAAAAGTTTCAGGTTGTTATTCTCAAAATATGAGTTTTTACTATGATAATGTTGTATATGGACATTTCATAATATTTTTGATATTATATATTGGCATGATTGGCATTGTATAAGCATTTTAACTTTTATTTTGGGAATAAAAATATAAAACTCTATTTTGGTATAGTATTTTTTATGTTTTACTCCTAATTTAGTCTTTTTTTGAAGTTTATATTAGATATTGATACAAGATTAATTTTATTAGACTTAATTTGTAAAATATTTTCAAGATACTATTTTATCTAATTAATATACCAAGTAATTTGTTTTAATTATTGGTCAAATTTTGGTCTGGGTTGATTCCCAAAAGAAAAAATTAGATAAATATTTTGAGATAGAAAGAGTAATTTATTGTAACAAATAATTAAGATTGATGCATGTTCAATACTCTCTCCGTCCTAAAATGATGTTGATTGTTAGACCATAATAATAGTATTACTTGTGGTAGTATTAGTTGTGGCAATGTTTCATCATTAGTCAGCTTCCTAATCCTATTTGTAGTAGATGGTGTATGTTAGTTAGTTTTCATTCTTTATTCCTAGTTGCATTAGGAGCCTCTCCTATATATATACTCTATCATGTACTCCATAATTCAATAAAGCAATATTATTATTCCAATATTTCAACATGGTATCAGAGCCACCACTCTTGGAGACCTAAAATTGCTTCTGGCCGCCGCCGGTAATTCCGGCAACTACGACTCTCCCTTATTCACTTCTATTTTCTTTTCCTTCTTTTATCCTCAAATTAACTTCTCCATTCAAAAAAAGTAAAAAATTCTCGTGTTGAAATCACAAAAAAAGCTATCAAAGGAGGAGCTTCCATCTTGTTGTCTCCATGGTTCTTCCAAAAAAACCGTCGAAGGAAAACATGCCCTCACAATCCACAACTGCTCCACCGTCGTCTAACCCTGAATCTCATTTACCCTCGGACCGATGTTCTTCCTTTAATTTTAAAGATCAGCGACTTCTCAAAAAAAATCTCTCAAGTCATCTTTCTTTCTTCTCAAAATCAAGGCAAAAAAAGATAGTTATTTTCTCTCCAATTCACCACATCAAAAAACTCAGACCCAAATCTATTTTTCCTCACCAATTATTAATCTACCTTTTTTCTCTCTCAAATCACTCATCATTCTTATCATCAATCTCCTTTCTCTTTCTCTTCTTTTGAACCAATAAAAATCCAAAGCAAAGCAGCACAAAAGCAAAGCAAAGAGGGGAAGTAGTGAAAGAGGAAAGAATACCTCTACAGACTACAGCTCACCCCTTCAAGAAAGAAACATGGATTTGCCCGGATCCAAAAGAAATATAAAGAATGTCAAAGATCTTCAGTCAAACAAGCACCTCTAGTAGTCTTCTCTTCTTCTTCTTTGACGTCAGCAGCTACATGCGCACGTCAATTTCTCTCTTCTTCAACGATGTTTGCAACTACCAGTGCACATCAGACTTCTCTTTTATTCAACGACGTCAGCAGCTAGCCACGGTGAACATCAGACTTCTCTCTTCTCAAAGTTTCCAGTTTCTAGCTAGTTTCTAAGCTTCCTCTTGATTCAGCCAGAGTTCAGCTTGAGGAGGGATGTTAGACAATAATAATAGTATTACTTACAATAGTATTGGTTGTGGTAGTGTTTCATTATATTATTAATCAGCTTTCTAATCCTATTTGTAGTAGATGTTGTATGTTAGTTAGTTTTCATTCTCTATTGCTAGTTGTGTTAGAGGCCTCTCCCATATATAATTTATCATGTACACCATAATTCAATGAAGCAATATTATTATTCCAATATTTCAACACTGATGTTTGTATTATGGCATCTCAATAACTTTTATTATTTGTATGCCTTTGTTGATCAATTGAGAAAATACAAAATTTCTAGTCAGCTTTTATCTTATAAAATTTTTTATTTAATTTTGAGCAAAATAATTTATATTTTTTTATTTTTATGTCAAATTTTAAGTAACATAATTTTAAAATTGAGAAAATTTAACATGTTGTTGGGAGAAAGATATTTAGTTTGGGGTAGGAGTAGGGGTGTTCAAAAATATCCGATCCAAAATATCCGTCCACGATCCGGGCCGATCCGATCCGAAAAATGGATATTCGTTCCGATATTTTAGCTTTCGGATATTTCGGATCGGATATCCGAAAAAAATCGGATCGGATATGGATTCAATTTCTGGAATTTTTCGGATAACCGGATATCCGATTTTTTTTTGCTATATATTTTTGGAAATTTATGGATATATATTATGACTATATGTTTAAATGTAATTTTATGTTGATTTTGAAACACAACCATTTTGGACTTTTTGCATTAGCATTTTAGAATCTTTTGTTTTAATAATGTTTTTTTTGTTTGTTTAGGCAAAATTACCAAAGTTACTCCCAAAATAAATTTGGTACTATTTTTTATTAGGCCATTACTTAGTGGTGGAATTTTTCTTTTAGTAAATCTATATTGAATTTGATATTTTGGGTTGATTTTGCTATTTTACATTTTTTTTTTGTAAATTTTGGCTAAAAACTCAACTTTTCGGATAATCCAGTAATCCGATCCGAAAAATCGGATATCCGAATATTTTCGGATCGGATATGGAATGACTTTTACATGATCCGAAATTTTTGGATATCCGAATTTTCGGATCGGATCGGATCGGATCGATCCGATTGAACACCCCTAGGTAGGAGTAATAAGGTCTACGAGACTACGAATAATTGTTGATACTCCGCATCTCATATCCCTTAACATTGATGCAGTCACATTTGATGGCCATCCGAAGTCGTCTAAACCAATCCACTAGAGTCATATCCACTAGAGTCATAAAGGAGAGACCAAATTATTAGATAAAAGTATTTGTACCTTAAAGATTTGTACTTCATTTTATACATCGTAGGAATGCATCAACATTTTGTGTTGGTATAATGCTAATTTTTGTTAACGTACAAACATTTTGTGTCAGTATAAATTTTTGTTAACCACTATAAGAAAAATGGGATATAAAGACACTATTTGAGAACATTTAATTTACAAAGTGTCCTTAAAGATTTTATATGACATGGTTAATTAATTTACTCCGTAGATTTCAAGTGCACAACACAAGCCCATTTACTTTTTTCTTTAGTGGAAATAGATAGCCAGAGGCTCCCTCAAAAAAAGAGGAAAAAAAAGATACTGAGAAGTATCAAAATGTTAGTGCATACTTTTGATGTATAAATGAGATACAAATTTTGGAGTACATGTAGCATGCTCCCAAATTATTACATGCAGTTAGGTTTCATGGTGAACTTTCATATATGATAAATAAGTATTTTTAAGTATTGAAATAAATATATTTTAGAATAAAAAATATACATATACATATATAACAACATCCAAGTGTAGCTTAGATCTACCATACAACCTCTCAAAGTAGAGATTAGTACAAGGATGGACCAATTTTTTTCTTAAAATCGGTCCAAACTACCCCCATCTTTATAAAATGTTGGGTGTACTTTTTAGTGTTTAAGAAAACTAAAATTTATGGAGTACTCCCTCCATTCCATATTAAATGACCATTATCACTTCTTTGATACATTAAAAAATGAATGAATGCAGATATATTGTATGTTAACATTCATTCATTAAATTTTAATGGATCAAGAAAATTATAATGGATAGTTAATATGGAATGGAGGGAGTAAATGATACTTTGTCTTTTGTTTTTATCTAATTTGTTCAACACTTCAACTCCCATTCTCCCACACTTCATTGATTTTTATGAAGTATTAATGCATTATACATGTATTTTTTGAGATAAAAATTAGATACAACCAAAACAAGCATAATTTCTTTTAGATATAAACAGACTTTAGACCTGTATACTTGAATTTGTTATGACTTATTTTTAAATTTGAAAAAAAATATGAAGTATTAAGTTGTATATTAATATATAAGATAAATGTAAATCTATTAAAACGATATGCTAAAGAATAGAAGTATTTATATACTCGGGTACAAGTTATATTTTAATGTTATACTACCTCCGTTTCTCAAAAGAGTTCCTCTTTTGACTTTGGGGAAAAATAAGGAAGTGTTAAATTGTAGTTGACTTTCCAATTTTGCCTTGATGTGATGGGTAAAAGTAAGATGTGATAGTTTAGTTGTTAGTGAAAAAGTATGATGTGATAGGTAGGGTATGAAAAAGTAGGGGTAAAAGCGGTTTTTTAATAGAAAGGAGAAATGTTTTAAGAAAAACAAAAAAATGAAAGAGGAAGAGTTTTAAGAAACGGAGGGAGTATTGAAAAACTAGTGCTAGTTTTTTGCCGTTCTAAACTTTTTACAAAAAGATACTCTGTAATTATTTTGGAATCAATCTAGTTCTTCCCCTAATTTAGAGAACCAAAATTAGACCACCAATCATTTCGGGTTGATTTTTTCTGTCCTAACCTATTTGCTTATCTATAACTTAAAGCTTCGGTAAGGCAAAAGTCGGTGGACGTTGCGCAGTTGGCAAAGATAAAGAGTAGCAAGGGGTTAAGATTCAAGTTTGATTTCTATCTGCTGCGCTGGAGGCAACTGTGCTAAGCATATGTATAAGTAAGTACCAGGTGCAAGCTTCATTCGTTGACACCAATCTACGATGAAAGTCCAACTTACTTTCTCTCAATGATCGAACGGCCGAGTTTGAGAGCCCTCGAGGATGGAGTTTATCTTCTTTTTTTTCCCCAAAAAAGTCTATTTGCTAATCTATAAGCTTCTAGTAAGAAGACAAGTCAGAAAACCATCACTCTCCGTGTTGAGTTTTTGTTTGTCAAACCCATTAATAGACTTGTTATTTTTAGGTAAACATATAACCACCCAGATATAAATATGCCCGGCTATAAACGTCCCTAAACAATTCAAACACACAAAGAATTATGTCGGGTCGAAACGCTAATCACCCTTTGGGGTGTCTCATAATTTCATTGGCTTTGACTATTATATCTTCTTCTGCCATGATCGAACCTTCTTCTTCTTCTTCTTCTCCGGGAGTCAAAGGGGTTTATTGGCCTTCGTGGGCCGATTCAACTTTCCCGCCCTCCGCCATAGACACAACTCTCTTCACTCACGTCTACTACGCATTCCTCCTTCCTAACAATGCCACATTCCGTTTCGACGTGGATGCCACCACGGCCGACCAGCTCCGCCGCTTCACGTCCACCCTCCGGTCTAAAACCCCGCCCGCAAAGACTCTTTTCTCCGTCGGCGGGGGCGGGGCAGACCCGAAAGCGTTCGCGCGGATGGCGTCGCGCGCTCCGAGTAGGAAGGCCTTCGTTGACTCCAGCATACGAGTGGCCCGGGCGTTCGGGTTTGACGGGATTGACTTGGACTGGGAAACGCCACAGAGCCCGGGGGAAATGAGGGACTTCGGGCTGCTGTTGGCCGATTGGCGCGCGGCCGTAGAGCGGGAGGCGTCGGCCACTGGCCGCCCCCGGCTCCTACTCACGGCCGCCACCTACTTCTCGGCGGATTTCTTCCTCGGCCCGGTGTACCGGGCGTACCCGGTAGCCGCAATTAACCAGAATCTGGACTGGATCAACGCGATGTGCTACGATTACCACGGATCGTGGGACACGGCGGCGACGGGAGAACACGCGGCGCTTTTCGACCCAAAAACCAACATAAGCACCAGTTATGGGCTCGGGCAGTGGATCAGGGCCGGCCTGATGAGAAGCAAGCTGATAATGGGCTTGGCTCTGTACGGGAGGACATGGAAGCTGAAGGATTCGAGCTCGTTCGGAATCGGAGCGCCGGCGGTGGACGTGGGCCCGGGAGGCGGAACTCTGAGATTCGACGAGATCCAGGCATTCAATCAGGAGAATAACGCGACGGTGGTTCATGACGCCGCCACGGTGTCGGTGTACTCGGTGGCGGGGACGTCGTGGATTGGGTACGACGATCCGGCGTCAATATCCGTCAAAGTCAAATACGCTAGGGCCACTCTCAACCTCGGTGGTTACTTCTTTTGGGCCGCTAATGGTGACTCCCAGTGGATGATTTCTAAACAAGGTGTGTTCCGTACTTCCGACTTTTACAATTCCCATTTCCGGCTACATAAAATGAAAACAATGCATCTTTTAATACCGGATTCACAAACTTACTTCCTTCGTCCCATTTTAAATTGTTTGTTTGCTTTTTTTAAAACGGGACGGAGGAAGTATAATTTTCAATATTTTAAATTTTTTTTAACTCTTTTCTAATTTATTCCAATATTTAGTTACTCCCACCGTTTCTAAAAAAATTGTCACAATTTGACTTTTATTCTCAAACTGTGGCATCCTTCGATTACGAAATAAACATAGTTTAAAATAATTAAATAATATAAAAATTTGATATTTCAAAACTATAATATAAAATAAATTTAATTTTACTAAATTTACATTATAATTATCTATATTTTTTCCATAATTTATGGTCAAAGGGTGTCACAGTTTGACCAAAAAAGTCAAATTGTGACAATATTTTAAGGATGGAGAGAGTATATTTTTTTCACATTATTTTTGTTGCAATACAATTATTATTTTTATTATTATAACTATTACTCATACAAAGTATTATTTTTTATTATCTTTGTTATTGTCGCCATCATCTTCATGGTCACTAATATTGGAGTGATAGGGAAAAATATGTGTAGTGTCACAATTCATGTATTTCATCCGTTCCTAAAAAATTGACATAATTTGATTTTTTTATCAAATTGTAGTTTGTTTTTATCACAAATTAAATTTAATTTAAACTAATTAAATACTATAAAAATTTGATGTTTCAAAACTACATTTAAAATAAAAATCCAATTTTACTAAATTTATATTATAACTAAATACTACGTATAATTATTCCATAATTCACAATAAGAAAGTGCCACAGTTTGATCAAAACATTCAAACTATGACAATCGACAGAGAGAGTAATAAATATTTGTTATGTTCTCAAAACAACTGCAGTTACAATATAAAATCAACAAAAATTATTGAAGTTTTAGGTCCAGTCAGTAGCGGATGCTGAGTTTGAAGATATTTCAATTTTTTTTCTTGCAGCTAAGCAGTCGTGGGACGGGACTGCGGGAGCAATTTCTATTGAGGTTTAGAGGATGAAAACTAAGTTTATACCCTTACTTGCATATTGGATGTATCATATATAGACACATAGAGACAATAATTTTATATATACCCTATACATAATTGTTGTGTCTGTAATATATTGGTGTGGTATTGGTATACAAATTTAGCACACCGTGCAGGCCATAGTTTGGCACATTTTTAGCGAAGTATCTACATGAAATCATCAGAAGAGTAATACTCTGCATTAATTATTAGGGTGCTGCTAATTGCCACAATCAGCACATTCGCCTCATTCTTTATAGTTGCTTGTCATGTGGTGTGGTATTGTGGTGTAATAATTTCTTCTTTATTTCATATTTTTTCTATGTGTGATAAAAGTTTATATTAACTTTTATATATGTTGTATGAAATAGATTTTTTTATGTTGTTTATATAAATACTCTATCTATCCCTAAAAGATTTTCACACTTCACAATTTTAAAAACGTGAAATGCTTTGTTAGGTTGTGTAATTTTATCGATTATTTGATAAAATAAAATATTTTTTCACATTTTGTTTTGTTGAACCTTTGACATAGTTTAATTTAAAATATATAAGTTTTATTTTTTATTTATTTACTAATCTTTAAATAAAATTGATGGTGTAAATTAATCATTGAGCAAACTGTACTAGACTGGGTCTAGAATAGTTTGCTTAGTTTAAAAAGTAAAGAAATGTGGAACGCAAGAGTGACCGGTAGAACTATAGGTGGAAGCACCTGTAGTCCAATTGATATTAAGTATGCAAGAAAGTGTATGGAGTTATTACAGTATGAATTCTAGAGAAATGAAATTCGGATCCCTTCCTTTGAGTGTTACACATGTATTTATAAGGAAAAGGGGGGGACAGAGCGCAACGCGTCCACGTTGACCAAGTTCTCTGATGGCGCGAGGTGGCTTCCCTTTTGTCTCGTAGCATTTTATCTCATTCCCTTTTCGTTTTGTGCTGGTGACTTCTCTTTCGGCGCATAGCGCCAACTGAGATTGAGGAAATATTTTCCCAATTTCTTGTTGGAAATCGGTCACTACCATCCAAAAAATCTCAGAGTTATTCGTGCTGATACTTCTACATTGTAGTAACATAACCGGTAGGTTTGTTTCCTTTCTTCCGAAGGATTAGAAGTCCATAACCTTAAAGTTACATATTCTGACCGGTGGGTAAATATATCGTCCCAGTCAATTTTTTCAAACATGACCAGTGATCTCTTTTAAGTCTAATTTTCCTATTCTGATACGTTTGCAACCTGATCGGTCTGTTGTCGTGGACCGGTTTCGGACCGGGTTCTGAGTGGAATACATCCATCAAAAATGAATTGCAAAAAATTTTAAAATCTAATTCGTTTTATCCAAAGTGCAAATCATTTTGGGACATGAAGTATAAACATACTTCTTTGGTCTCATAAAACTTTTTCACTCACACTTTTTTCTTGCCCCAAAAAATATTTCAAATTTGCAACACTATCATAAATATTTATGGCGTTCTTTCGAGATCTGAGTGTGTCGCTTGCAATCTTAGTGGTTTATATCATTTGTAGCAACTAAGAAATCGACTTAGTAGTTAGCCATTGATTTAAATAAGTCAATATTATTTACTTATGTTGGAATTAGTTGTTTTGAATAATTAACTATTGAATTGGGATTATATTTTACCAAAATGTGATTTGAAGATATGAGATGTTTTAATAAATAAATAAGAAGAGTTTATTTTGCAGGTCTATTAGTACTAATTAATTTAAAAGAATTAATTAATGATTGAAACAAACCAGGAGTGAGAAATATATAAACTTGTGAGTACAGACCTTTTAATCTACTATTATTATAGTTTTGGTAATCTTGTTCCAAAACCGTGATCAAAACTCAACTTGGAGGTGTTTTGTGAAAACATATTATTATTCTTTTTGTGTCACAAAAATGCAAGTAATTCGTGACATTAAAATTATTTATTCAATATTGGTATCGTTGGGTAGATTTCATGATCGAAAATATGACTAACGATATATTATTTGTCAAGTTTAGATTTATGTGTAAAAGATCATAAACAAAATAGATATTACACTAGAAAAAAATGAAATAATTTTATAATATAACAATAATAAATAATTGAATAATAACCTAAATGTACCCCTTCCGCAAGAAAGGGAACCCACCCAACCATTTCATAATACTCCGTAGGGAGTTGTAAATCACTGAGTATTGCGATAGACAGACATCAACGCAAACCTGCGTTGTTCGTGGCCCAAAACAACTGGACGCCATTGTCAAGGGGTTGGAGATACTGCACAGACGTTAAAACTTTATGGATATTATGAAATAGTGAATAATTTCTATACAAAAGACATCATTAGAGGTGATTAAAGAAATTAATATTCCAAGAAAAATAGACAATAGAAAGCAGTTGAAATACTATGGAGATTACGGTGTTTTTTCATGGATAAAAATATTTTAAGTTGAGTGGATAATATCTATCCGACAAAAGACATTGTTGGAGATGATGAGTGGAAACAGAAGAATGGCGGCGGCGATGCGGTTCATTAATGTTAAGTATTACAGTAAATAATTATTGGTACATTAATGTTAAGTATTAAATAATTATTACTTAATTAGATCTTAGTTAGGGAAAAAAACTTATAGTTTTGTTTAGGAAAATGACTATGTGGTGGAGGAAGGGGTGAAGGACAAATAGGGTACACCAAAGGTGTTCCCATAGCATTTTTCATTGTGAAGAGTAAGTGGTGGTGGTAGGTTCAAATCAAATATTGGACCCCACCATCATTTACAATGACACGGCATATGGTGAAAAATGAAAAATTTCCAAATGATCCTCACATGGAAAGGGTTTACTCTAGTAGTACATGATCGTAACACACATTAATGAATATACTAGTTCGTTATTACTGACACTTGTATATATACTCCCTTTACACATAAGGAGGAGAAGCTACACACAAGACTAACATTAGGAACTATAATACCAATGGATCTCATTTGAAATCGGCATAAATCCGAATGATATAAATCTGAACCGGTATAAACCCAAACGGATGTAAATCCAAATCGATATAAACCCGCACCGATATAAACTTTGAACCGAAACTGACCCGAAACAAATTGAATTTAGCCCGAAACCAAACTGAATCGACTTAAACCGATTGTAACATATATCCGTAAGGGACTCCAACCGAAAAGATTCGAATCTGAACCGAATTGGTCAACTCCTACTCCCGCCAATTTCATTTTCCCGCCAAATTGTGGAGGCGGATGGGTGGATGTTGTTTCGCTCGATTATCCCAACAAACAGTTCGCTTCCGCATCTCCTTCATTTCTGCAATGGCGGCGTCTCGGAAATTGACGGATTACGAGCGTCTGAGGCTGGAAAACATCAGGCGTAACCAGGAGATGCTCGCCGCCCTCAATATCCAATCCCGCCGCTCAGATCTCTCTCCCGCAGCCAAGCGTCCCAGGTACTTCTCGTCTTCCCCTCCATCTATCCCACCCTAGTGCGTCAGATGTGTAGGATTACTTGTTCAAATGCAGTAAGTTAGTTCATTTTCTTAGGGCAGTTGTTTTCAACTCAACCAAAAGCTTAGCTTCTGGATTCATTAAAAGATTTTATACGCCAACTGTTTTGTTATCTTTTTTGCTTACATGAGAGGCGCGGGCAGAGGAAATTGTCTAGTTATCTAGAGACTAGGGTTTTTGTATCAGATATTATAGTGTGGTGTGCACAACATTTTGATTTTGGAATCGCAATGTTTTCTAGCCTTTTTGTGTTTCCTGTTTCTTATGGGCGTCACTTGTTCATTTGCTTTGATCTCAGAGTGCAGAATAAGTCTTATAAATTGAGTCCAGAGAAGAAGCTGAAATTTGAGACTCCCATTGTCCTTCGTCGTTCTCTAAGGACACGGGGAAAGCCGCCGGATTCTTCTACGTCTGGTGGCCTTAAGGATGACTTTGATGAATCCAAAAGTGAGAATAAACTGGGGCCTCAGTTCTCCCCTGCCAAAGTGCGTAAAGAACCTGTACCTATCAATATGAAAGATGCATTTTGTGGTGAGAATTATGGCCCAAACCAACAGTTGATTGAAACAATTAAAAGTTTATCAAGAAAAGAACAACTAGACGAGAATGCTGATCAAGAACTTATTGTTTGTGAACAAGAGAAGAAGAGAAGACCTCCATGTTCAATAGATATTGATTCATTGAGATTGGAACCAGAAAATATGGCTCGGGTTGTTCCTGGAAGAATACTAAATGTGAAGTTTATCCCTACAGCAGGGATGAGAATGGTTGTTGCAGGAAATAAGTATGGAAATATTGGTTTCTGGAATGCTGACGCCAAAGAGGACGGAGATGGGATTTATTTGTATCAGCCTCATTCCAGTCCAGTATCAGGAATATTAATTGATTCATTTTCACAGTCAAAGGTTTGACATAAAGATCTTCATGGTTGAAGTTTTTTTATAACATAATATCTGAATCCATTGTTCTAATCTATGGTTTCACTTTGTTTCAGATGTTTACATCCTGTTATGATGGGTTTATCAGGCTGTTGGACATTAATAAGGAGTTATTTGATTCCATATATTTAAGTGATTATTCTATATATGCCCTATTTCAAAGGCCAAACAATTCGAATTCATTATATTACGCTGAGGGAGATGGATATCTTGGAATATGGGACTTGAGAGCTGGAAAGTCATCATCATCATGGAAATTGCATGAAGATAGGATCAACTCAATAGATTTTAACATGGAAAATAGTAATACTATGGCTACAAGCTCAACAGATAGAACTGTATGTGTCTGGGATATGAGAAATGCTGGCTCTCATAAACCAAAACCTTTGAGAACTATTCAACATGAAAGAGCTGTGCATTCTGCTTACTTTTCACGTTCTGGTCGACATCTTGCGTCAACAAGGTAGTTTATTCTAGTCTAATACTATAATACGCTATTGGCAGTTTGGCACTACCCTATTGGCCAATAGAAATAGTTGTTCTGAGAGAATGCATCTTCTGCCCTGACAGCCCATATTCAGTTCAGATCATGAGGTTTCCTTGAGTTTTATGGTTAATTTTATTCCCATTGCTAGGGTGAATATATTTAGACAAAAAGAGTCTTAGTTAAGGTACATAAGTAATCGTATTTATGCATGTCCTGAAATTTTACAATGGGCATAAATGTCATAATGCTTGAGATCCTCTATGCCCGATAAAACATCATAGCTATGTGTATTGTCTAATGATGAGAGAATAGGCTCATAGTGGTCTTGAATATTCTTCTTGTTTACTTCAAGTTTAAAAGAAATGAAATCCATTTAAACTACGGGACGTGAAAAGTTACTGTTAAAAAACAGTTATTAGTGCCAGTATCGACTGTGAGAATTACTTTTTTTCTTGTTTTGCGCAGTTTTGATAACAAAATAGGCTTGTCAAGTGGAGCTAATTATGAAGATGTAAGCATGATCCACCACAATAATCAAACAGGCAGATGGCTGTCTTCTTTCAGGTAAGTTTTTTTTTTCATTCTTCAATCTTCAGTAGCTTTCCCAAACAAATATTGATTCACAAACATTTTTGTAGGGGCAGGATTCATAATTGTGTCTCATTCCCTAGTTTTCTACTATAGTAGAGTAATGAAGGAGTTAATGAAGCCAATACTAATGCTTGGACCACCTTTTTTTATTTTGTACATGAAATAGTTCAAAGAGATTTAAAAAACTAAAAAATGATACCTTTTTTATTTTGTACATTAAACTAATTACCATCAAATATTAAATTAATACACATATGTCTTTGAATGTAATTTTCTCTACAAATTGTGAACAACTTAGGCTTTGTTTGGGAACCGCCTTGTCGATTAGCGTTAGCGTTTTTGATAAAATTTTAATGGTGTAGATTAATTTTGAAAATGTTAAAGCTAAAGGCTACCAGAGTTTCGACTACCAATCCTCCATCACCGGGGATTGCCAAACGGGGCCTTAGTTTGTAAACATTTTTTCCTTAACAACTAACATAACCTGTTAGTCAAAACAGTCAATTCGAACCTCCATTAAAAGCAGCTAACACAAAGAACCAACCATGAATGGCTAACAACTAGTTCCCAAACAAGGCTTAAGTCACTTATTTTTACTGGTGTTGAAGTAGGGCGGATCAGAGTTATTCATAATAATTCTTCATATGAAATAAGGTATCCTTTTTTACCCACCAAATTTACTTATAAATAAACTTGAACTCAATGCACTCCATTTTGCCGCAACTAGGGCTTTGCATATTGGATGTTACAATTGCAATATTCTGCAAAATATTGCAGAATGAAGTTGAGAAATTGAATTAAAACATCACTTGTTAGAGGCGCTTGGAATTAACCTTTGAAATGGCTTGCGTGCATGGGTTTGATTGTACTGCACGATCAATGCCAAAACCGGTATATTAAGAATATATTCTACTTCTGAATGTGTGGATTTATGATCGAAACAGAGGCATATGGGGCTGGGATGATTCATATATATTCATTGGCAACATGAAGAGGGGAGTCGACATCATTTCAACGCATGAAAAGACGATTGTTAAGACATTACAAAGTGAATTGGTGTCTGCTAATCAATGCCGCTTTGACACACACCCGTACAACGTTGGGATGCTTGCAGGCGCTACCAGCGGTGGTCAGGTTTATCTCTGGGGGATGTCTTAGCCCAACATATACAACCTGTTCTCACTTAGCTTCCTCCACCTGTTGGAACGAAATTTTCTACTAGAAAATCATTTATTCTCTTTTGGCGGATCATGTTCCAAAACTAGATGTACTATTATTATAACCATATACTAGTATGTCATTAGATTACCTCTTCCTGGTATACATACTTTTAAATTTGGTTATATTGAAGACAGAGGGAGTAGACAACAACAACAACAACCTAGTCGGATCTCACAAAATAGGGTCTAAGGAGGGTGTGTGTATGCAGACCTTGCCCTACTTGAAAATAGAGACTTTTTCCAAGAGATCCCCGGCTCAAGCTGCATAGATAAAAGAATCATAGGAGATACATGAAGTAGAGAAAGTATAGGTAAAGCACCAAGCACACCGAGGCAAGGAAGAAACTAAGGTTAATGAAGGAGTGTAATAGGGAAATAAAATGTCATAACAAATAAAAACACACCAGTCGAACATGTATAACATTATTTGTGTGCCCAAACACAGAAGGGACAAACTAACTTGGACCAAATTATTTAAAAATTAAGATGCAACATTAGAAAAACTAAAAGCGGCACACAATAATTATGAGAATTAGGTGGTGGTCTTTGGAGGTGTATTGGCAAGTTTCCAAGTGAATTCCTTAATATCATCAAACCAAGCATCCCCTGCAACTTCATTCATTGGGAACAACTCTGTTACTTCTTTCACCTCTTCAGGGCCGTCTCCGAAAAATTAAGGGCCCTCTACGACACACAGAAAATTGGCCATTGTGTCATAATATAATAAAATCTACTCCCTCCGTCCCGTTTTAAATCGTCTGTTTTGATTTTTGGGCATATTTAAGGAAAAGAAACACAATAGAGTTGATTTTTCAAAATTGACATTACTTTTAAAAAGGGGTGACGATGAATGAGAATATAAAGTGGAGAAGAGTGACTTATTTTAAGGGTAGTTTATGTATTTTACTCTTAAAAGTTTACGAAAAAAACTAACAGGCAATTTATTTTGGGACGGAGAAAAAAGGCAAACATGCAATTTAAAATGGGACAGAGGGAGTATCAATTAGTTTATTTAAAAATAATTAACATTATACTAATAAGAATAATAAAATATCAAATTCATGGTGTAATCAATTGTGTGGCTCCGAATCTCCAATGGACTGGCTACTGCTTTGGCTTAATTCCTTCCGTATGTAGATAGGCCACTAGGCCCACTGTCCTTTACTTCTTTGTGTTTTAAATTTTTTATATAAATAAACAAATGTGTGTGTGTGTATAC